CTTCAATGGCTCACTCTTACCCTCAGAAGTGGACACACCTTAGCACGAATTAAGACACTTGCTGTCTGTCACATGCTAAATGCCCATTTCCTGCCCACAAATCCCCTTGTCTGCTTTCATCCTAGTCACACCCAGCTACTCACTGTTCCCTTAAAAAAGCCCTATGCTTTCATGCCAGACTTTACCCAACTGCCCTTGAAGAGTTAAAGAAACATTAAACAGATTTTTTCTGCAGAACTTCTGTCCATCTCTAAGAGCCCTGTTCAGTAGACTGTATCAGAAATCAAGAAATTCAGGTCCAATGAGGTTATATAAGTTGCTCAAGGTCACACGGCTCGTAAATGATGACACCAATATTCAAACACGGACCTGAGTGACTTCCAGTAACCGTATTATTCTAGAAAAACCAATGCTCCTTCCAGTAACTGACTATTCTGGAAAAGTTCACCCTGTACCTGCTAGGGTGAAAATAGCCTTCTGAAACAGAGGCCTTCCCTTTACTGTGCAGACGGCCTTGACCGTGACTATGAAAATGGCCAGATGTGTACTCTCCAAGTAAGTCTGCATAATCCAGAATTAAATAACTGCCCCCTCACTACTATAAACATGAGAAGTGGCCTATTTATTTAATACTCAAGCAGAAAAACGGCAGGGGAAGGTGACCCTTTGTGATGGCTGTCCTTCTAAAGACCTGTCCGCAAGCTGATTTTGTTTCAGGAGTAGATCAGCTCTGTAGCCGCCGGGATCTCTGGGCTGCTCTGCCCCTGGCCCTTGGAACAGAAAGTGGCCAGGTGGCCTGAAGCTACACGTCTGAGTGCAGGGCAGACGGACGCGAGTCTTTTAACTGATTGGAGCATAAGGAGCTCCTCCAAGTCACTCTTAAAAGCTTTTTAAACACCTTAGAGATTACATTAGCTGTAATTTTCTCAAACAGGTCCCTTATTTACATTGTATTAATGAGAAAAGCCAAAAAAATTAGATTCCTTTTGTAGGTTTTTTGTGTTTTTTAGTTAGAGCTCTAAGTTGCATTTCATAAAAAATATCTAAGTGTAAAGGTAAGACCCTACCGAAATCTGTGGCTCAGTTTCTCATGGAATGTTTATTTTCTTTAAAAAAAAAAAAAAAAAATGGAA